TAGAAAAGGCATATGACAAAGTGCCAAGGGAGGTTTTCTTTTTTGTGGTTTTCTATGAGGAAGTCAGGAGTGGCAGAGAGGTATAGGTAGAGGTTAGATTGGTGCAGGACATGTATGAGAATAGTACAACAGTAGTGAGGTGTGCTGTTGGAAGGACAGAAGACTTCAAGGTGGAGGTGGGACTACATCAAGGATCAGCCCTGAATCCCTTCTTGTTTCCTGTGGTGATGGACAGATTGCATAGTCTCCATGGACTATGTTGTTTGCAGATGACATTGTGATCTGTAGTGAGAGTAGACAGCAGCTAGAAGAGAACCTAGAGAGGTGTAGGTTTGCACTAGAAAGAAGAGGAATGAAGGTCTGTCGTAGCAAGACAGAGTACATGTGTGTAAACGAACGGCAGAACAGTGAAATAGTGAGGTTACAAGGAGCAGAGGTGGTGAAGGTGCAGGAGTTTAGGTACTTAGGATCAACTGTTCAGAGCAGAGGAGACTGTGGAAGAGAGGTGAAGAATAGAGTACAGGCAGGATGGAACAGCTGGAGAAAAGTGTCAGGAGTGATCTGTGACAGAAGAGTGTCAGCTAAGGTGAAGGGAAAGGTTTACAGGACGGTGGTGAGACCAGCCATGATGTATGGTTTAGAGACGGTAGCAATAGGCAGAAGACAGGAGGTGGAGCTGGAGGTGGCAGAGTTAAAGATGCTAAGATTCTTTCTAGGAGTGACAAGAATGGACAGGATCAGGAATGAGGTCATTAGAGGGACAATACAGACAGGAAGGGTTGGAGAAAAAGCAAGATTGAGATGGTTTGGACATGTGCAGAGGAGGGACAGCGGATACATTAGTAGAAGAATGTTAGAGAGACAAAGAGGAAGACCAAAGAGGAGATATATGGATGCAGTGAGAGAGGGCATGCAGATAGTTGGAGTCAAAGTAGAAGTGGCAGAGAACAGGGTAAAATGGAAAACGTTGATTCGCTGTGGCAACCCCTGAAAAAAGGGACAAAGCCGAAAGGGAAATACGTCATGTACACAAGTTTACAAGACGAATTACTTTAGTTCATATTAGTCAATGGCTATATGTCCATAATGTCTATATAAATAGTTTTTAGGTAAACAACGATATAATTACAGATTCAAATCACAACAAAGTAGAAGGTCTTGTTCAATAAACGGGATACTGTTTAAAACGGATCGGTAAACAGTTACTAACAGAGGTTGGTTGACACTTACTCGTAGTTTGTAACAGGGCTGAATAGTTGTAATTGTATAAACAAATGTTGGACAGGACAGGAAATAAAATCCGTACAACGTTTGCTCAGCTCTTTCCTGGCAGAACTTCCGTATTTTTCTTTTTACTATTCTTCTGATGAGTTTAATGGTGGAGAAAAAGCTGAAAGGTGCAACACCACCCTCTATTGAACTAAACTGAGAATACAACTATTTCTACTATTACCTGCCAATAACCTACTGAAGCTTGTCCTACCACCGTTATAAGTGTTTGTACAGCTACTTCAGTGAGCACTACAAAGACAAAAGCTCTACTGTTATGTAACCGGTGTAGCCTCTGCGTTGTGTATTAAAAAAAGCTGTCGTGCTGCTGTCACCAACGCCTTTATTGATCTGACGGAATTCACATAGAACAAAATTAATTTTCCTCCAGGACACCACCTGAGCCCCTCTCCCACAAAATCCGAAGAAAGAGGGAGAGGTTGGGCATGACTGACTTTTTATATAAAAAATATATACGTCAAGTTTCCGCCCAGGGAAGAACAGCCCACTTCCGTCAGGTAGAAATAAAACAATTTTGTGGAATTACAACTACATAACTATTAACCTCTGTTACAGCTATTTTCAGCTACAACAACTACCACTGTCACTAAAACATATAATAACAATAACTTATACTAGTACTGCTAGTACTGCTACACATAATTGATACCTACTTCTGTTGTTATTTCTTCTACTACTTTTGATGCTGGCTACCCAGTCAAACGCTCTACACCAGGGGTGCCGGGGGGGCCACCTGCGCCCGGGGGGGCAGTTTTTATTGGCCCGCAAAAAGTTCTGAAAATATAATTGAATATGGCCCGCACATGGCGCTTGAGCTCAAGTCTGTTGCACTTCTCAGTTTCAACACTAGATGGAGCCAGTCAGAAAAGGTGCTTCTTCACTAAACACAATTAAGCAAAGAAAAACAATTAACACCAGTCCCCAAAATGGCAGCACCGAAGAAACGCAAGATAGCGAGTGAGTGCAGAAGATTTCAAACACGGTGGGAAAATGAATATTTTTTCAAAGAGATCAACGGAAAGTGTGTCTGTTTGATTTGCCATGAAGATGTTGCCGTGATGAAGGCTGAAGGATGAAGGATGTGTCCGTCGACATCATTGACTACACCGACATGGTTGATTCGGTTAGAGCAGGGGTGTCCAAACTACGGCAGTTTTTATTGGCCCACAAAAAGTTCTGAAAATATAATTGAATATGGCCCGCACATGGCGCTTGAGCTCAAGTCTGTTGCACTTCTCAGTTTCAACACTAGATGGAGCCAGTCAGAAAAGGTGCTTCTTCACTAAACACAATTAAGCAAAGAAAAACAATTAACACCAGTCCCCAAAATGGCAGCACCGAAGAAACGCAAGATAGCGAGTGAGTGCAGAAGATTTCAAACACGGTGGGAAAATGAATATTTTTTCAAAGAGATCAACGGAAAGTGTGTCTGTTTGATTTGCCATGAAGATGTTGCCGTGATGAAGGATTATAATGTCCGTCGGCACTATGAGACGAAGCATCAGAGCTACGCATCATACACAGGTGCCGAACGAGCACAGAAATTCCAGCAAATGGCAGCTAGTCTGCAAGTTCAACAGCAGTTTTTTTTTCGTTCTAACAAAACACAGGAAAACGCCACGACAGCAAGTTATGAAGTCGCTAAACTCATTGCCCAGCATGGCAAACCGTTCTCAGATGGTGATTTTATAAAACAGTGCCTTATTAAAGTGACAAAAGTAATGTGCCCAGAAAAAGTGCAGGATTTCAACAACGTCAGCTTATCCAGAAATACAGTGGTGCGGAGAATCGAGGACTTATCAGCTAACGTGAAACTTCAGCTTAGAGACAAAGCTTGCGCTTTTGATTTTTACTCCATAGCGTGCGATGAGAGCACAGACGCCACAGACACTGCACAGCTGTTAATTTTTTTGCGCGGAGTCGATGACAATTTTTGCTGTACGGAGGAGCTGCTCGATATGATGAGCCTAAAAGGCACAACGACGGGTGGAAATCTTTTTGACGCTGTGAAATGTTTAAAAAATATGTTCAAGATCATACACACATGTTTAAGATGTTGACAAAAATAAAGTTGTGTATAACATTTATATAACATTTATTGTTTAAAACCTTTTTTTGCCTCTAACAACAACAATAACAGTAATGATAATAATAATACCTTTGCTTATTTATCTGTTTTTAGCCCGCACCCAAAAAAGTTTGGACATCCCTGCTCTACACCATCATAGCAAACATAAAATGTCTAGATAGTCATATCATATTACATATCAAACTCAAATTCTTAATGCAGTACCATTCGTTACATTCTAAAATACTCATACACTCTCTCTAAATCCACCCAGCAAAACTAATTGTATTATGTTAAGGGGGTATCTTTTGTAAATAATAACAATTACAATAATCGTAACACTTTTATATAATTATATTTGAAAATATTCAGATAAAATATCAAGAAAGAATAAATAAAAGACAACGATTGCCACTCAAGTACATGTGACTTTCTTAGAACCTCGTGCTGTCAGCAGGACCTGATAACATTCATGTCACTCTGCCATCTCAACCCATTCAACTGTCTGGGCCAGATGATGGTAAATGGAGGTGTTGACCATCAAGTCAGTCAGCAAAAGGGGTTGGTGGGTGTTTTGATTTATACACATACCAAAAAAAAGAAACATTAAATATATCTGAGAATAATTGGTACAATTTATTTTCATATATAGAAGAGACTTTCTGGTATAGAATATACAAATGTTATCCAATAACTATTGTTTTTTTCCCCTTAATGCCATATTCATGTTTATATGTATACGTGGGTGTATGGGGATAGGTTTGTATATGTGTATATGTTTATGCACGTTGTTATTTTATTTCTCATATATAATATGATATGTACACAGTATCATGTTCATTAAAAAAAAACTAAAAATTCAAGAATCTAAATGAATTTGGTGTCTTTTGATTATTTCACATAAATGTGTTGAAATGTCATAGTTAAAGAAGTCTCAAATGACTTTCTTACATTATAACTGTGACTTGACTGTGACTTGACCCATATTAAAATGTTATTTGACAGTACACATGAAAAGAATAACAAGGCAGTTTAACAGCAGTGATATACATTTATATAAAGGATACATAACATAGCTTGATGACAGGTATGATTATTTAGTCCATTTGTACAAAGTATATGGACTAATCATTTTAAACGTTTGTACCTGTTCATTTGTATGCCATAATAAAACATGACCATGACCCAGTTGGTGCTTTTCTTATGATGACGCACCATTTTTATCACTACATTAGCAGTAAAGAGGAACCATTAAGTCTTTGTTCAGTAATGAGGTCAGACACTGCAGCCTCATTGAGCAGCAGAGTTAATATGTCACTGCACTTTATGATAGTAGTTCTTAAGAAAAACCAAAAAAAAAAAAAACAAACAAACAAGGAAATTACATTTTAGTTTAAATTGTATTCAATTTTTAACTGTATTCTAACATGTAATATTTAATATGCAAAGACAACTAAAACTTAGCAACTTAACACATCTGTGATAAACTGTTAAGATGTTGTAAATATATTTATTCAAATATTAACGATATATTCATTATATTAAATTTCCATATCAATTTATACTGTTTGTTTTTAAATGCTGTGCTAAAAGGAGAAGTACTGAAGAAAGGTGTGCATGCTGATGGTTTACATAACAGGATGGTGTATGGTACTGATGGCACTGACTGTTACGCTTGGAGATAGAGACAGGTCACAGAACCGGCCTGAACCAGTTTCTCTGCCCAAATAATGAGGAAAACAGAACATCAAAAAGGAAAAGAATCCAAAGTGTATTTCTTTGATCTAACCTGAGTTACTGAGCAGAATAGCTCAGCACATGTACAGCACATGTTTTCTATTGGTGGGGAATCTTTGTTTGAAGCAGTTTTTGCCAATCAGCGCTCAGAAGTGGTACGTGAACACCATATGGCTGTAAAGGGTTAAGCTACTGACCATTGATGTGTATGTGAAAAAACTGTATTTAAGCTCTGAGCACTGAGGAGTTCCTCAGTGCAGTTTTGAATGTAACCATTGTTCTGCTCTCCTTGCTTGCAAGTAAAACTTTTAAAATTTGAGATCTCATATTTGATTCTTTATTTGATCAGATCTTTATTTGATCTTTATTTGAATTCTTTGTGTGTTAGGAAACTGGGGTATGAACTAACAACATTTTTTACAGTCCTATCAAACAGAAAAAGTTTCCTGACATAACTTGGTCCTTCGAGCCGGATCGACAAAATCCAAGACATCATTGGAAAACCGGGAGGTCATCGCAAAAATCCATGCATGGTCTGAGACAACACCTCAGCATTGAAAGGCCGACTTGAGGCTTCGGTGGTTTCCATGGATCCAGCGGTGCTTGGTGACGTCGATCCCGCGATAAAGATTTACTGCACGCAGTGAAGTGAGTATAATACACGCAAAGTTTTGTGAATAGGTTGAAAAACCATGACGTCAAAAATAGAATAGTAGGTCCTGAAAAAGGTAATGGTGTCTGATGCGACCGTTCAGCCTTTCCTACTAAAACTAATAGTGTCTAATGTGAGGTCTGGGACCGTTTAGACGTAAATCTATTAGTGTCTGATGTGAGGTCAAGGACCGTTCAGACATTTTGCGAATAGGTTGAAAAGCCATGACTGAAGAAAGTCAAAAATAGAATTGTAGGTCCTGAAAAAACGTAATGGTGTCTGATGAGAGGTCAAAGACCGTTCAGACTTTCCTACTAAAACTAATAGTGTCTAATGTGAGGTTCAACATGCATTACATTTTCTTATAAAACTGTTAAGATGTTCTAAATACATTTATTCAATCTTTATAATATAGTTCAGACGTTTTGAGTGAATGAGAATTGTGTGAATGATTGTCTCCAAGAGAAATTAAACTGTATAAAGACAGTCTCGGAGACAATAAAAGTGTTTTAAGTGTATTTTTTGTTTTGTTTTGATTGTGGTCAAAATTGAGAAAGTTTTATTCACAGTACCTGCGGTGCGTTAGGTACCGTAGAAACTTGGTACAGTCGATGATCTCTGTGGGCGAGTGACTGATCGTTGACCACAATCTTTGTTGAAATATTGCTATTATTATAATATTATTATAATTATAATTAACAATATAGTTATTCATCATTATTATTAATATTGTTAAAATATGGGACAAACACAAGGCAAAGAATTAACTAAGAAGGAGCGTAAACATCTCCAACAAGTTCATAAACATCTCCAAAAAGACCATGGGGAAGATAAAGACGTAATGCAGTAAATATTGAAGGAATCGCCATTGTGTCTTGCAATACAATCGCCATTTTGAAATAAACGCTGCATAGTTAAAAATTTGGAAAAAGGCAAAAACAAAGACACTCCCACTAGGAGGAGGTTAGGGGGGTGCCTTCAGGGACGTAAACTATAGCCAAAGTAGCCTAGCAACTAGCAATTACCAATAAGCTGTAGGCCTAAATAGCATAGTTGCTAATAAAACTAAGGAAAGTAGTGGTATTGATTAGCACTACTTGATTAGCATAGATTAGCATAGCATAACTA